CCTCGCCGATCGAAAGATAATTTAATATGCAAAAAACGTCGCGGCAACAATCTGCGTTCATGAACCGGGATCATCCACGCAGACAGAAGTGGCAGCACGGCCTCCACGAACTTCCACGTGGATCCGTTGACCGTGACGACTTCCAACCCTTTACTCTTTCCTTGTGTGCAACCTGGAGCTTCTGGATAGGGTTTTTCATGGGGTGCCTTCTGAGGGAGCCTATTATGAGGCTGCTTGGTGGGTTTGTTGTGGACTTTGGACCTGAGATCCGGGACGTCCTGCTGCTGCTGCCTGTCCTTCCCATCGCCTGCACCTGGCCCGAGGATGCCGTCCCCACGGTCGCAGTAGCTTGTGACAGAGGTGCTGCTGATGCTGCAGCTGCTGCACCCTGTCCCGATCCTTGTCCATCTCCTCCACCTCCTCCGTTAGCCCCTTCATTCGTCTTACGCCTCTTACTCTCCAACCTCTTCTTTTGTTCTTCACGTTGGGCTCGTAATTTGCCCGCTCGATCTTTAACCGTTCCAAAGAGCTGATGTGTTGCCTCCTGGAGCGCGTTTTGAGCTGAGTGGTCCTTGGTTGACTTATTATTTTTCTTTGTCTGAGATGTCGACGAACACTGAGAGCCCAAACAACTATTCTGACATTTCCGCGAACTCCCATTTGCCTGCCAACACATCAGTGGCCGATACAGTTGGCAAGGTCTTTGGAGGATCCGGATCTTTGACATCCAAGTGGGGTTCATCAACGGCTTGCTTGTATAACTTTTCTTGGTCGCCAAGTTCTTGCTGTAATATCTCAATCTGACACACATGGTAATCGAGCTGTTGCTGAGCTTTGTCGAAGGCTGTGACATGTTTCTGCAGCTGGCGCTCGATATGCTGAACTTGCGCGTGTGTTTTGTCCGCTTTAGTTTGTGCCGACAGTTGTGGTGGTGAAGATGTTTTCCTCGTCGCTGCCAACTTTTGTTCGTACTTGATGGCCTGCTCTTCGTTTCCCGACTTCCTGTGTGAGACAATGAACTGCTCGAGAACAGCGATGGTGAGTCCTTTGTCTCCTGTGAAGTCGGCGAAGGGTGTGTTGGCTGCCACATCGTGTCTTCCGAACGCGTCGCCCAGCGACTGCCAGCCTCCCACGCGTGTACCTGAACCACCACCACTTCGCTTCGGCCACTCTGGAAGAGGAGGCAATTCTTTTGGCATGAACGTACTGTCCTTCCATGGGGTCTTGCAATGCTTGCACCAGCTCCAGTGCCACTTGTTGCGGGCGCATCCGCAGGCAGTGCATTTCCAAGTGCCAGCAAGAGAAGCGAAACGAGACGCCATCTCTGCGTGGCACAGGTAGATATAACCGAAGTGTACGTTGTATCAGAACTGTGTGGCAGGCCGCAGTACAGTACCAGCAAAGCTGTTGGGGGCCGTCGGATCCCCCCTCGCCAAAAAACTCTCGTCCCTGAGCCACCGCTACGGACTTGAGCCAAAATGGCCACGGTGCCCTCATCCGACTCCGCCTTCTCTTCCTCCTCCTCCTCTTCCGCGCCCTCCCTCCTCCGTCGTCTCCTCATCCTGCCCCTCCTCCGTCGTCTCCTCCTCCTCCCCAGCATCATCATCTGCAGCAGCATCATCGTCGTCAGCATCGTCATTATCAGCATCATCATCATCATCATCATCATCATCATCATCATCATCATCATCATCATCATCATCATCATCATCGTCATCATCATCATCATCATCATCACCACCACCACCATCATCATCATCATCATCATCAGCATCATCAGCATCATCATCATCATCATCATCATCATCGTTATCATCATCATCATCATCATCATCATCATCAGCAGCATCATCATCATCATCGTCATGATCACCACAACCACTTTCATAACCATCACCATCAGCAACGTAATCGTCGTTATCATCAGCATCGTCATCACCATCATCATCATCATCATCAACAGCAACAACATCATCAACATCATCATCCGCATCACCGACAACATCATTATCAACAACATCCTCTTCACCATGTCATCAACATAATCCGCTTCCTCACTCTCCTCCTCATCCTCCTCATCCTCCTCTTCCTCCCCCTCCTCCTCCTCCTCCTCCTCCTCTTCCTCTTCCTCCTCTGCCCCCTCCTCCGTCTTCTTCCTCCTCTGCCTCCTCCTCCTCCTATTCCTCCTCCTCCTCCTCCTTCCCCTCCCCCTCCTCCCCGTCCTCTTCCTCCTCCTCCTCCGTCTCCTCCTCCTCCTGCACCTCTTCCTCCATTCCTTCTCCTCATAGATAACTCCTCCCTGTCGCACCCCAGGGCCAATGTTTAGGGCGGGCCGGGCGTTTCGCCTGAGGCGTCCCCATTAGTTATGACTCTGAAGCTTGGAAAGTGGCAACACTTTACAGATAAAGGGCGGGTGGTTTTCAGAATGTGGCTCTTGCCTTAGCGCCGCGCACATCCGTTTTCTATAACTTTGCAAGAGCTTCACGGATTGAGGGCGGGTCGTTTTCAAAATGTGGCTGTCGCCGTAGCGACGCGCACATCCATTCTTTTAATTTGCGGTAGCTGCACGGATTGAAAGCGGGTGGTTTTCGAAATGTGGCTGTCGCCTCAGCGCCGCGCACATTCGTTATATATAACTTTGCAAGAGCTTCACGGGTTGAGGGCGGGTAGTTTTCAAAATATGGCTGACGCCCTAGCGCCGCGCACATTCGTCCTAAACAATTGCAAGAGTTGCACGGGTTGAGGGCGGTTGGTCTTCAAAATGTGGCTCTCGCCTTAGCGCCGCGCACGTTCGTTTTAAACATTTGCAAGAGTTTCACGGATTCCCATGATCAACGTACCAGAAATGATGTTTCGGAAGGATTCAGGACTACGCGGGCGCAAGATCAAAACAAAAGCGTTATGGCACGATTCAGAATCGTCAAGACGCAGCAATCAGGTTGATACGTGGCGTTGAGATCCCGAGAAAATGTTTTGGCACGCGTCCGAATCTTCAGAATGTTGTCCTCCAACGAGGTAGTTCCCTCAATGGGAATGAACCGTTGTATGGGGCCTGTGACCAGGGAGCTTGGAGGGAGGGAAAAATTCCAATATCGTTGATGAGTCTTGGGTTTCCACTGATCTTCCTCCTCCTCATCCTCCTCCTCCCCCTCCTCCTCCTCCAAACGCCTCCCTCCTTACATGACCTCCCTCCAAACGCCTCCCCCCTTAAATTCCTCCTCGTGCTCATCCTCCTCCTCCTCCTGTTCCCTCCCCCTTTTCTTCAGCCTCCTCCTCCTCCTCCTCCCCCTCCCCCTCGTCCTCCTCCGCCTCCTCGTCCTCCTCCATACCCTCCTCGTCATCCTTCTCCTCCTCCTCCTCCTCCTCCTCCTCCTCCTCCTCCTCCTCCTCCTCAACCTCATTTTCATCATCATCCTCGTCACCAACAACAATAACAGCAGCAGCATCGTCATCAGCAGCATCATCATCATCTGCAGCATGATCATCATCAGCATCAGCATCATCAGCAGCATCATCAGCATCATCAGCAGCACGATCAGCATCATCGTCATCTCCATCACCACCATCACTAGCATCATCATCAGTAGCAGCACAGTCATCAATAACATCGTCGTCATCAGCATCAGCAGCATCGTCAAGACCATCATTAGCAGCATCAGCAGCGTCATCATCGTCGTCGTCATCAGCATCATGAGCATCATCAAACTAGTTATCATGATCAGCATCAGCATCATCAGCATCAACATCGACATCCTCAACATCATCAACATCAGCAGTATCACCATCCTCATAATCATCAGCAGCATCAGCATCATCATCTGCATCAGCATCATCATCCTCAGAGTCATCATCAGCAGCATCAGACTCAGCATCAGCATCATCCGAACCATCATCAGAACCATCATCAGCATCATCAGCAGCATCGTCATAATCGACATCTCCATCATCATAATCAGACTCGACATCACCATCGTTCTCATCATCACCAGAGTCATCTTCCTCATCAGCATCATCATCGTCATCATCATCAGCGTCGTCATCATCATCAGCATCATCACCATCATTATCGAAAACAGCATCGTTGTCATCATCGGCATCATCATCCGCATCAGCATCAGTGGCATCCCCATCCTTCTCCTCCTCCGCTTCCTCCTCCTCCATATGATCATCAGCATCAGCATCAGCATCGTCATCGGTATTATCATCAGCAGCATCAGTATGGCGCCGTCGCCATCAACATCTTCTTCATCAGTATCATCATCTGCATCATCATTATCATCATCAGAAACATCATCGTTGGCTGCAGCAGCATCAGCATCAACATCAGCATCATCAACAGCATCAGCGTCGTGGTCATCATCGCCATCATCATCAGCATCCGCAGCATCATCATCCTCATCGTCAGCATCATCGTCTGAATCAGCATCATCATCACCATCATCATCACCAGCATCAGCATCATCATCATCATCATCGACAACATCAGCATCATCAGCATCATCATCAACACCAACATCATACTCATGATCAGCATCATGAACACCAGTATCATCAGCACCATCAGCATAATCATCACCACCACCACCAAAATCATCATCAGCATCACCGCCATCAAATAGCATCACCATAATCATCATAAGCATCATCATCACCATCATCAAAACCATAGTCATCATCATCAGTTTCAGCTTCACCTTCAGCCTCATCCTCAGCCTCATCCTCATCTTCATCAGCATCTTCATCATCCTCCCCCTCCTCCTCCTCCACTCATCCTACTTATCCTATTCATCCTCTTCCTCCTCCTCCTACACTCATCCTACTCATCCTACTCATCCTACTAATCCTACTCATTATACTCATCCTCCACTACTCCTACCCATCCTACTCATCCTACTCATCCTCCTCCTCTTCCTCCTCACCCTCCTCCTCCTCCTCCTCCTCCTTCTCCTCCTCCTCCTCCTCCTCCACTGCCTCCCTGCCTCCCTCCAGACGCCCCGCGCCTGCTCGGACAAGTCGGGCAGCCCGTCGTCCTCCGCCCCCGCGGCGCCCTCGCGGCCGCTGGGGCGGGGGCTCTGCCGCGCATCTCGCCGCTCCTCCTCCTCCTCCTCTTCCTCCTTTTCCTCCTTTTCCTCCACCAATATCCTCCTCCTCCTCCTCCTCCTTCTCCTCCACCTCCCCCTCCTCCTTTTCCTTCTCCTTTCCACCTCCTCCTCCTCCTCCTCATCATCATCCTCCTCTTCCTTTTCCTTTTCCTCCTTTTCCTCCTTTTCCTCCACCAATATCCTCCTCCACCAATCTCCTCCTCCTCCTCCTCTTCCTCCTTATCCTTCTCCTTTCCACCTCTTCCTCCTCATCCTTTTCCTTTCTTCCTCCTCCTCCTCCTCCTCCTCCTCATCTTTCTCCTTCCCTCCTCCCTCCTCCTCCTCCTCCTCCTCCACCTCATCCTCCTCCTCCCCCTCCACCAATCTCCTCGTCCTCCTCCTCCCCTTCTCCTCCCTCCCTCCCTCCCTCCCTCCCTCCTTCCCTCCCTCCCTCGCTCCCTCCCTCCCTCCCTCCCTCCCTCACCCAGCTTGCGCGCCAGTCCCCGTCCACATGCTGCTTGCCATCACCCGCTGCTCACGCTACCTGCCTCAGCTCTCAGCTACTTCGTTTGGGAGCTCCCAAGGTTCATCATCGCTGGCGCCGCGCATAGAGCAAGTAAGACCCCTCTGGGGCGGAGCTGCCAAACCGAGCCGGCTGCGAGTGGCCAGTGCCCATTGGGCACTCGGAGTGCGGTGTGGTGGTCGAGAAGGCGCCGTGCTCCAGAAACTGCCGCTCCCCTCACCCCTCGGCTACACGCAAGAGTGACCCTAGGCAAGAGTGACCTTTGGTACGCTGCCACCAGTGGGGGGGGGAGGCCTTGGGGGACAGCACCAGGCGCGCAAGCCGCCGCTGTTACCGCGTCGCACCCAGCGATCCGGGTTTATGTCGGGCGTGTCTCCCTACAGGGGGATTTTCGACGAAAAACAAACCAAAAATTATCCCAGTGCGACCCTACCTAGGAGTTGGAGCCCCTAGAAAAGCAGCATTAGTAGTAACAGTAAAGCTAAGCTAAAGCTAAGCTAAAGCTAAGCTAAAGCTAAAGCTAAAGCTAAGCTGGAGCAAAGCTAAAGCTAAGCTAAAGCTAAGCTAAGGCTAAGCTAAAGCTAAGCTGAAGCTAAGCTAAAGCTAAGCTGAAGCTAAGCTCAAGCTAAGCTAAAGCTAAGCTAAAGCTAAGCTAAATATAAGCTAAAGCTGAGATAAAGCTAAAGCTAAAGCTAAGCTAAAGCTAAGCTAAAGCTAAGCTAAAGCTAAGCTAAAGCTAAGCTAAAGCTAAGCTAAAGCTAAGCTAAAGCTAAGCTAAAGCTAAGCTAAAGCTGAAGCTGAAGCTAAGCGAAAGCTGAGGTAAAGCTAAGCTGAGGCTAAGCTAAAGCTAAGCTGAAGCTAAGCTAAAGCTAAGCTGGAGCTAAGCTAAAGTTAAGCTAAAGCTAAGCCAAAGCTAAGCTAAAGCTAAGCTAAAGCTAAGCTAAAGCTAAGCTAAAGCTAAGCCAAAGCTAAGCTAAAGCTAAGCTACAGCTAAGCGAACGCTAAGCTAAAGCTAAGCTAAAGCTAAGGTAACCCTAAGCTAAAGCTAAGCTAACACTAAGCTAAAGCTAAGCTAAAGCTAAGCTAAAGCTAAGCTAAAGCTACGCTAAAGTTAAGCTAAAGCTAAGCTAAAGCTAAGCTAAAGCTAAGCTAAAGCTGAAGCTGAAGCTGAACGAAAGCTAAGCGAAAGCTAAGCTAAAGCTAAGCTAAAGCTAAACTAACGCTAAACTAAAGCTAAGCTAAAGCTAAGCTAAAGCTAAGCTAACACTAAGCTGAAGCTCAGCTAACACTAAGCTGAAGCTAAGCTGGAGCTAAGCTAAAGCTAAGCCAAAGCTAAGCTAAAGCTAAGCTAAAGCTAAAGCTAAAGCTAAAGCTAAAGCTAAGCTAAAGCTAAAGCTAAGCTAAGGCTAAGCTAAAGCGAAGCTGAAGCGAAGCTGAAGCTAAGCTAAAGCTAAGCTAAATCTAAGCTAAAGCTAAGCTAAAGCTAAGCTAAAGCTAAGCTGAAGCTAAGCTAAAGCTAAGCTGGAGCTAAGCTAACACTAAGCTAAAGCTAAGTTAAAGCTAAGCTAAAGCTAAAGCTAAAGCTAAAGCTAAAGCTAAGCTAAAGCTAAGCTAAAGCTAAAGCTAAGCTAAGGCTAAGCTAAAGCGAAGCTGAAGCGAAGCTGAAGCTAAGCTAAAGCTAAGCTAAATCTAAGCTAAAGCTAAGCTAAAGCTAAGCTAAAGCTAAGCTAACGCTAAGCTAAAGTTAAGCTAAAGCTAAGCTAAAGCTAAGCTAAAGCTAAGCTAAAGCTAAGCTAAAGCTAAACTAAAGCTAAGCTAAAGCTAAGCTAAAGCTAAGCTAACACTAAGCTAAAGCTCAGCTAACACTAAGCTGAAGCTAAGCTGGAGCTAAGCTAAAGCTAAGCTAAAACTAAGCTAAAGCTAAGCTAACACTAAGGTGAAGCTAAGCTAAATCTAAGCTAAAGCTGAGCTAAAGCTAAGCTAACACTAAGCTAAAGCGAAGCTAAAGCTAAGCTAAAGCTAAGGCTAAAGCTAAAGCTAAGCTAAAGCTAAAGCTAAGGCGAAAGCTCCCAGGGGACTGGGGGAACCGCGGGGCGGGGACTGGGGGAACCGCCCGGGGCGCTTTCCACTGCCCGGCCCCTTTAAGCTAACAGAGTAAGGCAGAGCCTAGGTAGGGAAATACCCCAAAAAGATCAGAAAATAATCAAAAAATAGTCCCCAGGCTATTTTTGACATATTTTTTACAATTCTTGGTGTATTTTTTATTTTTCATCGAAAATCCCCCTGTAGGGGGACAGGCCCGACTTAAATCTGGGGGGCCCCATTGGGCCCGCACCACAGGTCACTCCGGCGAGAGGTCACTCTTACGTGTAGCCGAGCCCCCGCTCGAGAGCAGGCACGTCTGGCGATGGCCCGGCACGGCCCCACGCCGTGCCGCCGCACGCGACGCATCCGGCCCACGCCTTGTGCGGCCACGCGCCCGGGAGCGCCCCGCGGCCGCGGCCGCGCCGTGCCCGCCGCGCCGCCGTGCTGCCGGGCAGGCACGCGAGGAGCGCTCGGGTGAGGGGCGCCGAGCACGTCCGCAGCAGAGGCACCGTGACACCACGGGGCCCTCTCCATACCTTCGCCGGGCCGCAGCCGCGAAGGCCGGCGGAGCTCCGCGCACACCCCTCGGGCGCCGCGGCCGCGTCAGAGCGCTCCGGGAGCGCTCCGGGAGCGCCCCGCGGGACGCTCTGTGGAGCGGACGTGCGTCCCCGTCCTGGCCCCGTCTGGTGCGGCCAAGGCCGCCCGACGCCGCCACGGAGCGCGCCGACTCTGCACGGAAACGGGGGACCCGCCGCTCACCCAGGTGCGAGGCGGGGATTTAGCCATGTCTACCGCCTGGGAACCGACGTCCTGGTGCCCCAGCGGGCGGTGGATGTGGATATATTTCTGCCCCCGGGGGCCCGAATATGTCCATATCCACCGCCTGCCGAGGCTCCGAAAACTGACCCTCCAGGCGGTGGTCATGTATAAACTCCCGCCTCCGACCACGCGCATTCATGCGTCCCGCCTCCACTCACGGTTGCCCAGCACCCCCATTGCTTATCTGGCATCACGCAGAGGTCGTGGCGGCCAGCTTCTCCGCAGACCCAGCCTCTGGGGCTATGGATTCCCTTCGGGCTCCGAGGGGCCACGTCCCAAACCGGCATGGCGGGATGGTGGGGATGGGCACGGGCACGGGCACGGGCATGGGGATGGGGATGGGGATGGGGATCGGTTGAACGATACTGACTGAGGGCAGGGGGGCCTCCCTCAGCCTCCACGCCTGCCCTCTGCCCTCCGGCGGAAGACAAAAACCTCCCGTTAGCAAACCTCCCTTCAATGAAAGCGGCCTGGGACCGAAACCGACGGCCCTGGACCCGCAAAAATAATGGCCGCGACGCCCTCTCGCGAACCGAAAACGACCAGTTCGCTGATCGGCGTGTCGGGGCAGGAGGCTCCTCCTCCTCCTCCTCCTGCTCCTCTTCCTCCTGCTCCTCCTCCTCCCTCTCCTCCGCCTCCTCCTCCTCCTCCCCTCCTCCTCCTCCTTCCTCCTCCTCCTCCTCCTCCTCCTCCGCCTCCTCCTCCCCTCCTCCTCCTCCTCCTCCTCCTCCTCCCTCCTCCTCCACCTCCTCCTCCTCCTCCTCCTCCTCCTCCTCCTCCTCCTCCTCCTCCTCCTCCTCCTCCTCCTCCTCCTCCTCCTCCTCCTCCTCCTCCTCCTCCTCCTCCTCATCCTCCACCTCCTCCTCCTCCTCCTCCTCCTCCTCCTCCTCCTCCTCCTCCTCCCGCCTCCTCCCCTCCTCCTCTCCTCCCTCCTCCACCTCCCTCCTCCTCCTCCTCCCTCCTCCTCCTCCCTCCTCCTCCTCCCTCCTCCTCCTCCCTCCTCCTCCTTCCCTCCTCCTCCTCCTCCCTCCTCCTCCTCATCCTCCTCCTCCCTCCGCCTCCTCTTCCTCCCCTCCTCCTCCTCCTCCTCCTCCCCTCCTCCTCCTCCTCCTCCCCTCCTCCTCCTCCTCCTCCTCCTCCTCCTCCTCCTCCTCCTCCTCCGCCTCCTCCTCCTCCTCCTCCGCCTCCTCCGCCTCCTCGCCTCCTCCTCCTCCTCCTCCGCCTCCTCCGCCTCCTCCGCCTCCTCGCCTCCTCCGCCTCCTCCTCCGCCTCCTCCTCCTCCTCCTCCTCCTCCTCCTCCTCCTCCTCCTCCTCCTCCTCCTCCTCCTCCTCCTCCTCCTCCTCCTCCTCCTCCTCCTCCTCCTCTCCTCCTCCTCCTCCTCCTCCTCCTCCTCTCCAATTGGGCCCGAGCATTTTGCCAGAGCCCGATCCCTGTACCTCCTCGGGGTGCTTGAGGGATAGCTTGGCGAGTCTCGCCCACACTCGCCAGGCTAACGAAAGCAGGGATGACAGCAGATGTGGCGCGTCCAGCTCGTCCCGCCAGTCG